AATCTGTGTGTGTGTGTGTGTGTGTGTTTGTGTGTGTGTGTGTGTGTGCAGACATAACTCTTACCCATGCACTCGGTTCTGCTGGGGCTGGGACTGAAGCCCTGGTCACACACACACCTGTAGCTGCCCACCGTGTTCTCGCAGCGGCCGTTCTCACAGATGCCCGGCTTGACTGAGCATTCATTCAGATCTGCACAGAAACACCACGAGTCTGAGAGCTGAACACACACACACACACACACACACACACACACACACACACACACACACACACACACACACACTCACACTCACACTCACACTCACACACACACTCACACACAGACGTGTCACTCACACACACGGCTCTTTTTTTAACAGCATCACATTAAACAATATAATCTTATTCCAAACACTCACACACATACAGACACACACACACACACACACACTCACCCACACAGCTGTCTCCGCCGGGCTGGCGTGTGTATCCCGGAGAGCAGATGCACATGTATGTGCCGATCAGATTCTTACAGCTCATCCCTCGAGACGCGCAGTCGTCCAGACCCTCCTCACACTCATTCTGATCTGCAGAACACACACACACACACACAAACACACACACACAGACACGCGCACACACACACACACACACACAGACACACACACACAAACAATCACACACACACACACACAAACACACAAAACATGTGTAAAACATATGCTGGAATAGTTGGCGGTTCATTCCTCTGTGGCGACCCCTGATTAATAAAGGGACTAAGCTGAAAATGAATGAATGAATTCCTTAAATCTGAATCAATCATGGACTTTCAGCTTTACTAAAAAGCATTAATAAGTAAAATAACATTATTTCAAATATTGCTTCTTGAATTCAGAGTTTTGAGTCGTTTGGACTGGAAACACGGCAACAACTCTAAATAGGGAAGGCATTGTTTACAGTGCTGTTCTCTGATTGGTGTTTTCAGATATAAGGGCGGGGTCAACCTGCCACTCACATTAAATCCACCAAATGCAAAGCCCAATCAGCTCCCCATGGAGAGCATCAAGCCCCGCCCACGTGTGTTCTTGAGGCAGAAATGCAGCAGAACAGAGAGCAACCGTGTGTTTGATGAAGGTTTGTCTGACCTTTGCACATCCTGCGGTCGTCCCTCAGCACGTACCCCGCTGGACATCTGCACTCATACGAGCCCACCGTGTTCACACAGCGGAACGCACACAGCAGAGGATTCTGGGAGCACTCGTTCACATCTGAAAACACACTTCATGCTGTCATCAAGCACTGGCGCAGGCATTATCTGACAATATTCAGAGATGATTATGAATGAATTATTTTCAGCTGTTGATGCTGCGCTCATATCATTAACAATACAGCTCACATGCTGAAATACTGCAGCAGACCCTGCAGAGTACTGTGATTCCATGATCAATGAAGAAACAGAATCACGCACAGACACACACACACGGACTCAAACACATACATAAAAGCAAACACACAAGTGTGCGCAAATACACAAGCATAAGCGCACACACATAACACACAAAACCACACACACAAGCATAAGCGCACACACAAAACACATGCATAAGCACACACAAACACACACACACACACAAAAGTGCACAAACACAAGCACACACAAAAGTGCGCAAAACCACACAAACACAAGTGCATACACAAACATAAGCAAACACACACATTAAAAACGCACACACACATACACACACACAAAAACACTAACAAAATCACACACATAAGTGCACATAAACACAGTAGTGCACACACACACAGACACACACACACAAACAAGTGCACACACTTACACACAAATGCCCACCCATAAGCGCAAACACATAATTAGACACACACAAACACACACACACACACAAAAACACGTACATAAAAGCACACACACAAGTGTGCACAAATACACAAACATAAATGCACACACATAAACACACTAGTGTACACACACACAAACAAGTGCACACACTTACACACACACATGACCACCCATAAGCGCAAACACATAATTAGACACACACAAAAACACAGACATAAGTGCATACACACACACACGTACGCACTTAAACACATACATAAAAGTACACACATGTGTGTGCAAATACACAAACATAAGTGCACACACAAAGCGCACACACAAAAACACGTACATAAAAGCACACACACAAGTGTGCGCAAATACACAAACATAAATGCACACACATAAACACACTAGTGTACACACACACAAACAAGTGCACAAACTTACACACACAAAAGCCCACCCATAAGCGCAAACACATAATCACACACACACAAACACACACAAAGCGCACACACAAAAACTCTAACAAAACCACACACATAAGTGCACACACATAAACACACACACACACACACACACACACAAACACACACACACACACACACACACACACACAAACAAGTACACACACACACACACACACACGCACACACACACACACACACCACACACACACACACCACACACACACACACATGCACACACGCGCACACACACACACACACACACACACACACAAATGGCCACACATAATCGCAAACACGAACACACACAAAGCGCACACACATAAAAACACACAAAAATACAGACATAAGAGCACACACAAGCATAAGCACACACACACACACACACACACACACAAATGGGCTGAGACGGACCTTCGCAGGTCATCATGGGTCCGGGCTCGAAGCCTTCATCACAGCTGCACTCGAAGGCTCCCTCTACATTAGTGCAGGTGCCGTTTCCACACGGGTTCCCCAGCTCACACTCATTCGTGTCTGAAGAGCACAGAGAACATCAGGAACAGCTCAGCGGCAGAAACTCCGTATATTCCTGCAGTGAATGTGTGCTGTGTGAATGTGTCTGCATCAGTTTGACCTCTGACCTTCGCAGTTGATGCCGGTGAAGTCGAGCCGGTAACCGAACGGACACTCGCAGCGGAACGTCCCGTCAGTGTTGATGCAGTGACCGTTCCTGCAGATCCCGGGGTTCTGCACACACTCGTCCACATCTGAAACACAAGGACATGAGTGTGTGCTCACAAACACACATTCAGTGATTCAGTGATTCAATGACTCAGTGGATTGGTTACTCTGTGATTAGTTTACAAAGTGATTCAATGACTCTGATTTGTCAATTCACTGATTCATTGATTCAATTGATTCAGTTGCTCAGTGATTCAGCTACTTAGTGATTCTGTAAATAATTACTAATTGATTAATTTACTCAGTGATTCAAAGACTCAGTGATTTAATGACTCATGATTTAATGATTAAGTAATTCAGTAACTCAGTGATTTTGTCAATTCAGTGATTCAATGACTCAGTGATTCATTTACTCAATGAATTGGTTACTTGTTGATTAGTTTACACAGTGATTTTATGACTGTGATTTGGCAAGTAATTAGTTCATTTACTCAGTGCTTCAATGAGTCAGGGATTTTGTAATTCAGTTACTCAGTGATTCAGCTACTTAGTGATTATGTGATTCAATTACTAATTGATTAATTTTCTCAGTGGTTCAAATAACTCAGTGATTTGGTGATTTTGTGATTCAGTAACTAACTGATTAATTTACTCCGTGATTCAAAGACTCTGTGATTCAGTTACTCTTTGTTTTGGTGTTTCATGATTCAGTTACTCTGTGATTTGGTGATTCAGTTACTCAGTGATTTGGTGATTCAGTTACTCAGTGATTTGGTGATTCTGTGATTCAGTTTCTCTGTGATTTGGTGATTCAGTTACTCAGTGATTTGGTGATTCTGTGATTCAGTTTCTCTGTGATTTAGTAATTCAGTCACTCAGTGATTTGGCGATTCAGTGATTCAGTAACTCAGTGACTTTGCGATTCAGTTACTTAGTGATCTGGTGATGCAGTTACTCTGTGATTTGGCAATTCTGTGATTCAGTAAATCAGTGATTTTGCGATTCAGTGATTCAGTTACTCAGTGATTTGGCGATTCTGTGATTCAGTAAATCAGTTACTTAATGATTTGGCGATTCAGTTCCTCAGTGATTTGGTGATTCAGTTCCTCAGTGACTCAGTGATACTCACCCACAGCAGTATCGTCTGTACTGTGGCTTTTACCAGGAGCCGGACACAGAACTTTAAAGGCAGCTGAAAAACACACACACACACACGCACGCACGCACGCACGCACACACACACACACACACACACACACACACACACACACACTCATACATTAACTGACACTGCCATCAAATTGTGTGTGTGTGACTGTAAGTGTACAAACTATATGTGTGTGCATTTGTCAATGTGCATGTGTCTTTGTGACTGTGTGTGTGTTTATGTGTGTATGAGCATGGGTCAGTGTACATGTGTGTGATCATTTACATGTGTGTGTGTGTGTGTGTGCGTGTATTTGTGTCAGTGTGCATCAATGTGAGATTTTTTGAGCGGATGTGTTTGTGAGTGTGTGTGTGCACAATGTGTGTGAGTGTGAGAGTATATGAATACACGTGTTAGTTTATGCAGGTGTAGTTAATGCACATATGAGAGTGAGACTGTGTGTGCGTGTTTGTGTGTGTGCACGCTCACCGTCCTCCATGGAGGGGCAAATCTCGCAGGGGTCGCCCCATCCCTGACCCGGCATCCCGCTGCAGCAACACACACTCTTGGTGGTGTTGAGGGGTTTTGGGGCCAGACAGCGGCCGTTCTCAAACTTCGTGTAACAGTAGTTAACCCGGATATCTGCGGAGGGAACACAGACAATCATTCCCTGCACAGCGTTACACAAACACACACTCAGGAGACACATGAACTGCAGATGATTCTTTCTCAAATTATTCATTCACACATGATTCTCTGAAATGATTCATTCCCTAATTATTCTTTCTCAAATGATTCATTCCCAAAAGCATCTTCCCAACTCCTACATTTATGATTCAGTTAATTTTCTTAAATGACTCCTGAAATGACTCCATCTCAAATGATTCTAATAACTGAACGTCAGATTATTTTTCTCAAATGACTCTTTTCAGAATTAACTTCTCAACGAATTTAGCTAAATTAATCTTTCCTAAATGATTTGTTCCCAAATGATTCTTTCTTAATTGATTAATTAGAAAATTAATCTTTTTCAAAAGGATCATTCCAAAATTACACTTCCCAAATCATATTCACTGTTTCCTATATTAACTTTTAAAATGAATTTTCCAAAATGATTCTGTTCAAATGGAAATGATTCTTTCTCAACAATTCTAATAATTGATTTACAAATAATTTATCTCAAATGATTTTTTTTCCAAATTGCTTCTTTTCATTTCCAAAATGACTCTCTTAAAAAAACTCTCCTAAATGATTCTTAAACAAACTGTTTCCAAAATTACTTTTCAAAATGATTCTATTCCAAATGATTCATCAAACTGATTGTTTTCAAAATGATTCTTTCCCAAATGATTCATCAAACTGATTGTTTCCAATATGATTCTTCCCCAAATGATTCATTAAACTGATTGTTTCCAAAATGATTCTATTCCAAATGATTCATCAAACTGATTGTTTTTAAAATTATTCTTTCCAAATGATGCACAAATAACGCAGCGTGCTTTCTCCAAATTCTCGCTCACTCACCCACACATCTCTTCCCGGACGAGGACAGCTGGAAACCCTCGGGACACTCACACCTGAAGCTGCCTGGCGTGTTCACACACTTCCCGAAAATGCAGATCTCTGGAGACTGAGAGCACTCGTCGATGTCTGCATACACACACACACACACACACACACACAGAGGTTTAAGACAGCACTGCAAGCACCTGCACTACTGAGGGTGCAGTGCACACTGACCTTCACAGCGGTCATCCTGCAGGTAATACCCTGGAGGACAGATGCACCTGTAGGAGCCGTCCAGATTCTGACACGTCCCGGGACCGCAGGTGCCAGGGCTCAGCAAACACTCATTGATGTCTGAGCACAGAAACACAGGAACATGTGACACCAACACACACACACACACACATACATACATACACAGACATGCATGCACACACACACTCTCATGCACACAAAGACACACACACACAAACACATATGCGCACATGCGCGCACACTCACACACACACACAGTGGTCAGAAGCACCAAGACTCACCCACACATGTGCGTCCGTCAGGCGAGAGTTTATATCCATCCAGACACACACACACAAATGAGCCCACTGTGTTGATGCAGTTTCCGTTTCGGCACAAACCCCGGAGCGACACACACTCATCTGTGTCTAAACATCACACACAAACACACTGGGAGAATTAATAAATATCCTACGCTTATTTACGAACCTTCAAGTTGCTGTAATATGTGTGTGTTTGTGTGTGTGTGTGTGTGTATGTGTACCAATGCAGTCGTTGTTGTGTGACAGCTGGAATCCTGGGTAACACAGGCAGTTGTAGGAGCCCACAGTGTTCTTACAGGTGCCATTTCCACATGGTTGACGATCACACTCGTCCACATCTGAACACAAAACCACAGACGTTCAGTTATGAACACACAAAACCACAGACGCTCAGTCAGCCATAAACACAAAAATCACAGACGGTCAATGAGTCATAAACAAAAAACTATAACCATAAACAAAAACCACAGACAGTCACAATTAGTTATAAACAAAAACTACAGAACGTCAGTTAGTTATAAACAAAACTACAGACGGTCAGTTATTTATAAATAAAAACAACAGACCATCAGTTATTTATAAACAAAAACTACAGAACGTCAGTTAGTTATAAACAAAACTACAGACGGTCAGTTATTTATAAACAAAACTACAGACGGTCAGTTATTTAAAAATAAAACAACAGACGATCATTTATAAATAAAACTACAGATAATCAGTTACTTAAAAATAAAAGCTACTGACGGTCAGTTATTTATAAATAAAAGCTACAGACGGTCAGTTATTTACAAATAAAACTACAGACGGTCAGTTAGTTATAAATGAAAACTACAGACGGTCAGTTATTTAAAAATAAAACAACAGACGGTCAGTTATTTAAAAATAAAAACTACAGACGGTCAGTTATTTAAAAATAAAACTACAGACGGTCAGTTATTTAAAAATAAAAGCTACAGACGATCAGTTATTTATGAATAAAAACAACAGACAATCAGTTATTTATAAATAAAAACTACAGTTATCTAAAAATAAAACTACAGACGGTCAATTATTTATAAATAAAACTACAAACGGTCAGTTATTTATAAATAAAACTACAGACGGTCAGTTATTTAAAAATAAAACTACAGACGGTCAGTTATTTATAAATAAAACTACAAACGGTCAGTTATTTATAAATAAAACTACAAACGGTCAGTTATCTAAAAATAAAACTACAGACGGTCAGTTATTTATAAATAAAACTACAAACGGTAAGTTATTTATAAATAAAACTACAGACGGTCAGTTATTTAAAAATAAAACTACAGGCGGTCAGTTATTTATAAATAAAACTACAGACGGTCAGTTATTTAAAAATAAAACTACAGACAGTCAGGTATTTATAAATAAAACTACAGACGGTCAGTTATTTAAAAATAAAACTACAGACGGTCAGTTATTTATAAATAAAACTACAGACGGTCAGTTATTTATAAATAAAACTACAGACGGTCAGTTATTTAAAAATAAAACTACAGACAGTCAGGTATTTATAAATAAAACTACAGACGGTCAGGTATTTATAAATAAAACTACAAACGTTCAATTATTTATAAATAAAACTACAGACGGTCAATTATTTATAAATAAAACTACAGACGGTCAGTTATTTATAAATAAAACTACAGACGGTCAGTTATTTATAAATAAAACTACAGACGGTCAGTTATTTATAAATAAAACTACAGACGGTCAGTTATTTAAAAATAAAACTACAGACGGTCAGTTATTTATAAATAAAACTACAGACGGTCAGTTATTTATAAATAAAACTACAGACGGTCAGTTATTTATAAATAAAACTACAGACGGTCAGGTATTTATAAATAAAACTACAGACGGTCAATTATTTATAAATAAAACTACAAATGTTCAATTATTTATAAATAAAACTACAGACGGTCAGTTATTTAAAAATAAAACTACAGACGGTCAGTTATTTATAAATAAAACTACAGACGGTCAGTTATTTATAAATAAAACTACAGACGGTCAAAATGGTCAACACAAACACACACACAAAAAGGCACAGACGGTCAGTGTGTTATGAACACAACAGACGGTGGTTAGTTCTTACCACAGAGAGCACAGACGGTCAGTTAGTCATACACACAGACCACAGCAGCTTTAGTGGAGAAGAGAATACACAGCGCAGGATTGATGGTTAGTTTTGCACACATCGCTCAGCTGATTAGATTGTTGATCAGTTATGGACAGCAGAACACACACACATACACACACGTTTAATCGCTTACCTATGCACAGGTCAGGGGTGGACTTGAAGCCGTTGGGGCAGATGCAGCGGTAACTGCCCACCATATCAATACACTGACCAGGACTGCAGATGTTAGGATTCTCAGCACACTCATTACGGTCTGAGACACACACACACACACACACCATCACCATATGAATATGACAATTGCTGTATCACAAAAGTTTTATCTATATTCTAACACACACACACACACACACTTACCGACACACTGCTGCGTCGGAGTCTGCCGGTATCCAGATTTACACTCGCAGCGGAAACTTCCAGGAACATTCAGACAGACGGCGTTCTGCTGACACACCGGCCCGTTCTGACACTCATCAATATCTGCGCACACACACACACACATACACACACACACACACACACACACACACACACAGAGAGAGAGAGAGAGAATAATGTAATCCACACAACACAGAAACACACACATATACACACCATGCACACATACATCACATTACACACACCCACACACACAGATGTAAGTCACATCACAAGCACATATACACACAAACACACACACTCTCTCGCTCTTACCCTCACAGATCAGCAGTTTATCATTATAGACGAAACCCATCGGACATTCACAGCGGAAACTGCCGATCATGTTGATACACACGCCGTTCTCACACACACCGGGTATCTCACGGCACTCGTCAATATCTGTGGATCACACACACACACAAGCCTGTGTCTGAGTGTCTTCAGTGTGTTGTTGATGTTTATTGTCCCTTTTAGTGTGTGAAAAATACCTTAATTGTGTGGTTTTTGTGTGTGTGTATGCAGGTGTGTGTGTGTGTGTGTGTGTGTTTACCAATAATCTGTCCAGTGTAGATGTCAATGAAATATCCCGGCCTCTCACTTCCACACAGCACAGCGAATTCATCTGCAGCAGAAAACAGCATTAGTCATGATGTGTGTATGTGTGTGTGTGTGTGTGTGTGTGTGTGTGTGTGTGTGTGTGTGTGTGTGCATTATAGTCTTGTTATTGCTCAGTGGCTGTGAATGTATCGTGTAAATGTGTCTGTCTGTAAATGCATTTTCATTGACAATCTGTGTGACTTTCTTGTGTGTTAAACTGAAATCTGCATTTGCGTTGACCTCAGCAATATTGTCTTCTGTAATATTGCTCAGTACATATTTATTTGTTTCATTTGTTTTGTGTGTGTGTTTTTAGCTCAGACTTAGAATCAAAGTTAGCATCTCTCAATGTTTTGCTCATATTTTATATTGCATCTCTCGATCTCGATTAATCGCAGGACACTTTATGCAAATTTTTTGCACGAATAAAAAAAAACAAAAGCGCCACAACATTAGCGCCACCTAGTGGAAATTCACCTCCGTTCACGCATTTCCATTGACTGTCTGTAACTTTCTTGCGTTAATACTTAAATTTGAATATTTTTGAATCCATCTGTATTGTATTTTATAATATTGCTTAGTTCATATTTTAGCTGGTTTTCATATTCTTAGCTGACACTCAAGCGAAATTAAATCTCAATTTGTATTTCTCAAGTGTTTTCTTCGTTAGTTATTATTATAGTGTCTCACACTAGATAAATGACAGGACGCTTTCATAAATTTTCTGCTCAACTAAATAAAACTAACCTGTACAAAAGACACGTTTTAGATGAATACCGTGTGTTTGAGACAAACGCGTTGCAGATTCCACAACATTAGCGCCACTTGGTGGAAATTCCTCTCTGTTCATGCATTTGCATTGACTTAGTATGCAACTTTCTCACCTGAATACTTACATTTGCTTATGTTGTGAATGCAGCAATTTTGTGATTTGAATATTGCTTAGTTCATATAAAACTGGTCAAGCACAGCTTAGAAGTTTTCATGTTTTCAGCCGACACTCAGGTGAAATTAAACCAAAATTAGCATCAAGTGTTTCGTTCGTATTTTATATTGCGTCTCATCGCAGGATGCTTTTTGCGAACTTTCTTCACAAGTAAATAAAACTTGCGCAAAAGACACAAATTTAGATGATGACCATGTTTTTGAGACAAATGCGTTTCACATCCCGCATCATTAGCGCCACCCGGTGGAAATTGGCCTCTGTTCACGCATTTCCATTATTTTGTCGGTAACTTTCTTGCGTGAATACTTACATTCGAATGTAATGTGACTCCATCAGTATTGTTTTTTGTAATATTGCTTAGTTTATATTTGGCTGGTCAAGGACCGCAGTGGTGTTTTTGTGTTTTCAGCTAACACTCAAGCGAAATTACGCCAAAATTAGCATCAAGCGTTTCATTCGTATCTTATACTGCGTCTCTCAATCTAGATTAATCGCAGGATGCTTTTTGCAAACTTTCTGTGCAAATAAAAACAAATTTACCTGCACAAAAGACACAATTTAGATGATGACCATGTTTTTATGACAAATGAGATGCACATTCTACATCATTAGCGCCACCCGGTGGAAATTCTCCTCTGTTCATGCACATCCATTGACTTTGAATATAAATTTTTGCGTGAAATTACAGTAAATTTGCATTTGACGTGAACCCAGGAATACTTTGTAATATTTTTTATTTCTTAATTCATATTTGGCTGTTTTTTGTGTTTTCAGCTGACTCTCAAGTAAAATTAAACCTCAATTTGTATCTCTGAAGTGTTTTGTTCGTACTTTATATTAGTTATTATTATATTGTTTTGCTTTAGATTATTGCAGGATGCTTTTCGCAAATCTTCTGTTCAAACAAAACTTGCTTTAACTTACCCAAAAATAATGTTTTAGATGAATACCGTGTTCTTGTGACGAATGCACTGCACATCCCGCATCATTAGCGCCACCCGGTGGAAATTGGCCTCTGTTCACGCATTTCCATTATTTTGTCGGTAACTTTCTCGCGTGAATACTTAAATTCGAATATGGTGTGAATCCATCTGTATTGTATTTGTAATATTGCTTAGTTCATATTTGGCTGGTCAAGGACCGCAGTGGTGTTTTTGTGTTTTCAGCTAACACTCAAGCGAAATTACGCCAAAATTAGCATCAAGCATCATCTAGATAAATCGCAGGATGCTTTTTGCAAACTTTCTGTGCAAATAAAAACAAATGTACCTGCACAAAAGACAAAATTTAGATGATGACCATGTTTTTATGACAAATGAGATGCACATTCTACATCATTAGCGCCCCCCGGTGGAAATTTATCTCTGTTCCATTGACTTTGTGTGTAACTTTTAGCATAAATTTGCATTTGGTGTGAACAAAGCAATATCATACTTTGTTATATTTCGTATTTCTTAGTTCATATTTGTCTGGTTTTTGTGTTTTCAGCTGACTCTCAAGCAAAAGTAAACCTTAATTTGTATCTCTGAAGCGTTTGTTTGTATTTTATATTAGTTATTAATATTGTGTTTTGCTTGACGTTTCTAGTTGGATGCTTTGCGCAAATCTTCTACTCAAACAAATTTGCTTTAATTACCCAAAAGAAACGATTTATATGAATAGTGTACTGGCGACAAATGCACTGCACATCCTGCATCATTAGCGCCACCCGGTGGCTCCTCTGTTCACGCATTTCCATTGACTGTGCATATAACTAACTTGCACAAACACTTAAATGACTGAATGAACGTGCGGGTCTCACTGGTGCTGGGAACGGGACACTTCTCGCAGGGTTTATTCCAGGCGCGGCCGATGTTGTAGGAACAGCAGCAGAACTTCTTGGTCATGTTGAAGGTGAGCTCGCCGTCACATGTGGCGTTGTCGGAGTAGTAGTTCCTGTAGCACAAGCTCTTCCGCATGTCTGGACAAACACACCATGTTAAACCCATCAGTGTGTGTGTACAGTTAGAGATGTTAGCAGTGTCAGCGTGCGCAGACTCACCCATGCAGTTGTTTCCTCCATTGATCTGCATGTACTCGGGTGGGCAGATGCAGGTGTAGTTTCCTATGGTGTTATAACACTGACCTGGACCACAGATGCCAGGATTCGCACACTCATCCACATCTACACACAAACACACACACACACACACACACACACACACACACACACACACACACACACACACACACACACAAATAATCAATCTGTTAATTTAAAGTTGACCTGTCTCTGATGAGTGTGTGTTTGAGTGTTTGAGTTTGAGATCATGTTCTCCAGCTCTCTAAAACTGGTCCTTTCAGGCTTTGATCGTAATTGTGGTGTTTTGGTGACTGTCGCTTTAAATGCAAATGATATTGAGCTCTTTTCAGAAGAGGACGGAGCCTGTGCATTACCATAGCGACCAAACAATACTGCATATTTTCCCAGGGTCATGCAACTTTTTCCAAATACATTTTAAAGTCTAAATATTTGCATCTTGACGTAATTATTATTTTTGTTAGCTTTATTTTAATTAATCAAATATTTAAAAATATTTTTCAAATAGTTTATTGTAGAATGAATATTACATTAATCTTACAACAATTAATTAAACAAAATAGCTCATAAATAAATAGTATCCTTCTAGAGAAATGTTAAAACATGTTGTTCCTGAAATACTCAAAAACAATCCCACATATTTTTCAGTTAAATATCCTTTTTTTTTAGCATGAATTAAATTTTATTTGATTAGAAGAATGCTTATCATCTGTTTATTTTAGAATGAATATTATATTAAAAAAACAATCTGTTACAGAAAAATTGCAAATAAATAAATAAAAATATTCCAGTCAAGAAATATCGATATCGAAATATTCAAAAACAACACTGCATAATTTCATTGTCAGGCAACTTTTTCAAATTAATTTTAAAGTCTAATTATTTGTGTCTTGATATAATACATATTTTAGCTTGAATTCAATTAATTAATTTGAGAAAATAATAATCTGCTCATTTTAGAATAAATGTTATATAAATAAGCAATGTATTAAAGAAAAATAGCTCATACATAAATAGTATCCTTTAAGAGAAATGCTAAATCACAAGACATATTGTTACTGAAATACTCAAAAATAATCCCACATATTTTCACAAATCATTTTTTTTAGCTTGAATTCAGTTTAATTAGGTCAGAAAAATATCTAAAATCTGTTTATTTTAGAATAAATTTTGCATAAATGAACAATCTGTTAAAGAAAACTAGCAAATAAATAAATAGAAACCTTCCAAGCAAGAAATATCGAAATCCAAATATTTAAATACAATATTGGATATTTTCCCAGTCATGCAACTTTTTTCAAATAAATTTTAAACTCTAAACATTTGCATCCTGACATAATTATTATTTCTGTTACTTTGAATTCAATTAGTTAAATAAGAAAAAAGCCTAAAAAATAATCTATTTTAGAGTGAATATTACATAAACATTACAAGAAGTTATTAAAGAAAAACAGCTCATAAATAAATAGCATCTTTCAAGAGAAATGCTAAATCACGAGACATATTGTTCCTGAAATACTCAAAAATAATTTTTACATTAATTTTCAAGTCATAAATATTTTTTAGCTTGAATTTAGTTTAATGTGATCAGAAGACTGTCTATAACCTGTTTATTTTAGAATGAATACTACATAAATAAAGTATTTGTTTTAAAATCTGGTAAAAAATAAATAGAATTCTTCCATAAATAATAATAATAATAATAATAATAATAATAATAATAATAATAATAATAATAATAATAATAATTCCTTACATTCCTTACTTTTCTGCGCACCAAAAGCGCTTTACACACTGGGGAATCTCCTCATCCAGCAGTGTGCAGCATCCACCTGGATGAGGCGGCAGCAGCCATATTGCGCCAGACCACACACCAGCTGATTGGTGGAGAGGAGACAGAGAGATGCAGCCAATTTTGATATGGGGAGGGTTAGGAGGCCATGATGGACAGAGGCCAGTGGGCAGATTTGGCCAGGATGCCGGGGCTACACCCCTACTCTTTATGAAGAACATCCTGGGATTATTAATGAGCACAGAGAGTCAGGTCAACAGCTCATCTGAAAGACGGCGCTCACTGAGCAGTGTAGAGTCCCCGTCACTATACTGGGGCATTAGGATCAACACAGACCGCAGGTTGAGCGCCCCCTGCTGGCCTCACTAACACCACTGCCAGCAGCAACCTAGTGTTCCCATGTGGTCTCCCATCCAGACACTGACCGGGCGCAGCCCTGCTTAGCTTCAGTGGGCGACCATGTGAGAGTAGCAGAGGGCTAGCTGCAGATGATATGGAGATACTCAATAATATTGCATGTTTTCCCAGCATCCCAGTGTTATTCAGAAATGTCCTGCAGTCCAGGCTGAACATTCATCACCTGAGATTTAGATTTCAGCCACTTCATATCAACTTTATAATGATGGTGAAGGTTTCTCTGTACACCAGAGTACTCGATCTGTCTTGAGTCTGTGTGTGTGTGTGTGTGTGTGACTGACCTTCACAGATCCTGGTGTCCTCTTTGAGTGCAAACCCTCTGGGACACTCACAGTGAAAACTGCCGAAGGTGTTGATGCAGTCGCCACCCTGACACAGACCCGGCAGCTCCTGACACTCGTTTATATCTGACACACACACACACACGCACATGCACACGCACACACACACGCACACACACACAAAAAGACACACTGGTCAACCTGCAACACTTTGTGTCTGTGTGTGTGCATGTCTGTGTGTGTGTGCGTGTGCGTGTGTGTATGTATGTGTGTGTGTGTCTGTTTGAGTATGTGTTTGTTGAGTGTGCATGCCATTGTATGTGTATTTGTGAATATGTGTGTGTGTGTGTGTGTGTGTGTGTGTGTGTGTGTGTGTGTGTGTGTGTGTGTGTGTGTGTGTGTGTGTGTGTGTGTGTGTGTGTGTGTGTGTGTGTGTGTGTGTGTGTGTGTGTGTGTGTGTGTGTGTGTGTGTGTGTGTGTGTGTGTGTGTGTGTGTGTGTGTGTGTGTGTGTGTGTGTGTGTGTGTGTGTGTGTGTGTGTGTGTGTGTGTGTGTGTGTGTGTGTGTGTGTGTGTGTGTGTGTGTGTGTGTGTGTGTGTGTGTGTGTGTGTGTGTGTGTGTGTGTGTGTGTGTGTGTGTGTGTGTGTGTGTGTGTGTGTGTGTGTGTGTGTGTGTGTGTGTGTGTGTGTGTGTGTGTGTGTGTGTGTGTGTGTGTGTGTGTGTGTGCTTGTGCTGGTCTACCTTCCAGTATGATAGTGATGGGGTTGGGTCTGAATCCTTCTCCTCCAGGACACAGTTTCTTGTACTCGGCTGAGAGAGAAACAACACGCACGTCAAAGACAGAAACACACGCATACAGGAGTGTGTGTTAAGAATGTGTGTGTGACTGACAATCACATGCAACAACTGTAGTTTACAATTAACAATATAATAATCTAATACAAATTATGTGTGTGTGTGACTCTGTGTGTGAGTAACATGTCTATGTGTGTGTGTGTGTGTGTGTCTCACTGGAGTTGAGTGATGGACAGGCCTCGCAGGGCTGTCCCCAGGCCACACCCCTAGAACAGCAGCAGGACGCTTTGGACACTCCCACTCCAATCTCATTGGAGCAGCTCAGACTCTCAGAGAAATCGCCTCGGTACTGGACGTCCAGGTAGCAGTTTCCAGAGCGAGTGTCTGCGGGAGAGAGAGAGAGAGAGAGAGAGGGAGATTTATGACACGTTATACTGCTGCACTAGTTATTATTAATAATACTCATTAATAATTGATTAACAGCATCTTATTAGAGATGTAACGATTCCACTGACTCACGATCCACGATACTAATCTCACGATTCACGATTTAGACACAATTTTTAACAAAATGACTGAAGCTTATTTGTAAAGTAATGTGGAGAGGATCTCGTGCTTATGATTGCTAGCGCCTGGACCTGCATATACAATTCTCAATGCACCAATCAGACGACTCCTAAGCTTCTACAAATACTCTGGCTTACGTATCACCGCCATCTTCTTTTTGAAGAATCCCCCCTTCCTCCCCTACTCCTCCTCCTTCCTCCTAGATGGGCGGCACGGTGGCCCAGTGGTTAGCACTGTTGCCTTACAGCAAGAACGTCTCTGGTTCCAGCCTTTACCAAGCCAGCTGATGTTTCTGTGCAGAGTTTACACGTTCTCCCCGTGCTCACGTGGGTTTCCCCCGGGATCCTCACACCGTCCAAAAACATGCAGCTTAAGTTAATTGACTAATCCACATCAGCACATAGACATGCAACTACCATGTACTTATCTTTTTAAGAGCAACTACTGTCTGCTCTTCAGCCACCATGACAGATCTGCCCAAGCTCAAACTCCCCTCTTGCCTTGCAACGGGAGGGAGCCCCAAGCTCGAGGATTTTATGAGCTCAGGGCTCTCTCCTGGGACAGCATGCCAAACACGCTTTATAATCAATCATCAGCTGAGGGTGAACTCTTAGGGCCCTATCATACACCCGGCGCAGTGTGGCGCAAGGCGCGGCGCAGTAGTCTTTTGCTACTTTAAGCTTGGCGCAAGGGTCATTTTGAGGTGTTGCGCCACGCTAATTAAATAGCAAATGCATTTGTGCTCAAATGTGCGCCCATAGGCGTTCTGGTCTAAAAAAGCAGGCGTGTTTTGGCGCGTTGCTATTTTGAGAAACTGTAAATAGTCTGATCTTTAGACCAGAACAAAGTCAGTCTATTGTCTGGCGCAAAGTGCACCTGGCTTACACACTACACACAAGATGCAGAGCAATACGCAAATATCTTTACATATGAAAAAGATATAATATCTTAAAGATATATATAATAAGGATATATGGGATAAAAATATAAATGATTAAAATAATACAAAACATATTAATTTCTAGCCTACATGAAGATTTAAAAACCACTGCCGTCATATTTCATCTCGGGAGGCTTTTTCAGTTCATTAAATTTGCTTTTGTATAATGTTATTATTATGATCAGTATTATTTATTATATCCATGTTTCTATTTGTTTTATTAAAAACAAGCTTAGATTTGTCCACCTGCAGGTTTTAGACCATATGGGGCACATCAGGTGTATTTGGAAATAACTCAGCATTTTGAGCACACTTCATTATTATTGTTCATTTATTCGTTTGCTAGAAATTAGAACTGAATTTAGTAGGTTTGGGCATCTAAGCTATAATGCCGATCCGATACGCATCTCGATACAAAGAATACGATCCGATATATTAGCGATACATTTTTGACATATTGCGATGCAACACGATACGATTCACACCCATATCACGATACGATGCGATATTTCAGCACTAACTAATTAGATCAAGTTTATGAGATGATGTGAAAGAGGATGCTGTGCCATTGAATGAGTTTGATTATTTATTAACCAAGCAAAACCAAGACTTTTTTACAAACTGGCTTTTCTCTCAGAGCCAGAGTGTCAGTTTACAGTAGAGGGCCATTTTAGAACATATAGCACATATTATTTAAGTATTTTCAAGATAAACAGAATGTATAAGTGCAATATATATTAAAAAAATATGTATATATTTGCACTCTTTCAACATAAATAAAATTAGCATTGCACAACAAGAATTGTGATTCAACTTTTCAACTATGAAAACAAGTTTTACAAAGATATATTTTGCCACTGATTATTCAAAACTTAAGGTCGTGAACTAGCAGTGTTATGCTGCGTTGAAACATCACTGTCACTGTAAACAACAGGCTAATAAAAATATAACAAACCAGCAATCTTCTTGCTGTGAGGTGGTCAAACTACCCACTGTGCCACCCAATTATTTTTATCATTATTATTAATAATATTATTATTATTATAATTACATAAAAATTAACAGGAGGAGGTGTTTAAAACCTTCGTTCTCCGTGACACTAGGCTGAATATCTTTGCAGATGAACAATGCAATAGCATTCGTTATTGGCGTAGAGCGAGCAGAACTGTTGCGCATGGAAAAAAAAACTTGCAATGCTTTTCTCACCACTTTTGGAGCTGGTTGAAGCAGTGCGAAAGCCGGGGATGCAGAAACACTAGAAGATGCTTTCACAACAACACCGTGGCGCCGCTTCAAGTGAGATATCAGATTAGTCGTACTGCCCGCGTATTTTACAGATGCGCAGCACATTTTGCAAATTGCATCTGTCCTGTCATGTCGTCCATCCTTAAATCCATAATGTTGCTTGCCATACTTTAGATGTAAAACTCAGTGGGGAATAACATGTTTGTTTTGCTTCTCGCGCTTTCTGAGGGCGCTCCACTAGCTTCATCCGCACACCTGATACACTGAGTTGTAGTGTGTGCACATCCGCAAATCCGTTGCTAAGGCTTACTTTATGTAGGTCGATTAAATTATGCGCCAAAAACAGGTTGACAACACTTGTTAATAAATAAAAAATACATTCTATATTAAAAATATAAGCTGTATCTCGGAAAAATCGATGCATCTCCCAAAAACCGATGCATCTCGATTTGCTTCCAAAATTTCATTCATCCTCTGCTGCTCAACCGATGCACTCGCATCGTGAACGCGCATAACCGCGTATCGATACATATCGGTTAATCTTCCCATCCCTAGAATTTAGAAATAGTTTTAAAACAAATATTTGCACTTAACAAACAAAATTAATTATTTATAGGCTAATGGATGTCTGTGCTGTAAGGTTTCCCTATCCACGAGAGCAAAAGCGAAAGTGAACTTACTTTACGTCAAAATGCGCTCTTGGCGTGACGCAGCTGGCTCTTAAAGGGAATGGGAGATGAGACTCTGATTGGTTTATTCTCAAAACACACCAATAACTCATTAAGAAAATAAACTCAACCCTTTTAGACCATGCGCCGCGGCGCAAAGCAGATTTCCTTAAATTCCTTAAATTAGCAAAAACGCTTCCTGACACGCCCTGAAAGCGTTTGCGCCCTGCGTTTTGCGCTCTGCGCATGGACCGTCAAAATAGAGCCCTTAAACTTTAAACCTAATCTAAGGTGAAGAGCTCTTTCAACCAAACCGCTCTTATTAAAACAAATAAAAAAACAGAATAATAGAAACTAAACATTCATTAATTTAAACAAACTGAAACTCACAGTGCTGGGATTTTACATTTCACAAAGAAATATCAGCATATCTCTGTTGTCTGGCATAAGCTGAGGTCTGAGGCACATTTACACTGTACTTTCACTGGCGACTGAGATGGCTGCTGTGGAGAGGAGAGCAGTGTGTACAGGGGTGCTCAACAGGCCTTCTGCTCTGGGCAACACTCATTATACAATGACTAATGATATAGTAGGATAGAGACAGGAGCTGAACATGAATATGAAGATGAATAATTAACATTACTTGTTTAATTAATGAGTATAAGTATCAGTGTGATACACTAAAGAAGAGCTCATCTTAAACATTTGTAAATATTCAATATTAATGAGCAAATTCATTCATTTATTCATACATACATACACTTTCTTTTCAGCTCAGTCCCTTTATTCATCAGGGGTCGCCACAGCAGAATGAACCGCCAAATTATCCAGCTTATGTTTTACACGGTGGATACTTCCAGCTGCAACCCAGTACTGGGAAACACCCATACACACTCATACACTACAGCCAATGTAGTTGATCAGTTCCCCTATAGCGCATGTGTTTGGACTGTGGGGGAAACCGGAGCACCCGGAGGAAACCCACACCAACACGGGGAGAACATGCAAACTCCACACTGAATATAGTGCTGTTATATCAGCATATTTGTTTGGGTGTTTGTCTGATTTGGTCAAAAAACAAAAATGCAGAAATGGTCAAAATTTCCAGCAACCAAAAATTCAGTGCAGTGCAGTGTGTGTGTGTGTGTGTGTGTGTGTGTGTGTCTCACCGACGCAGCCGACTCCAGTGGGATTGAGCTCAAAGTCGGGGGGGCAGCTGCAGATGTAGCTGCCAGGGGTGTTCAGACACAGACCGCTGATGCAGGTGTTGGGGTCGTTGCACTCGTTCACATCTGAGAAAAATGCAGAGGAAAAAGCAGGATAAGTTTCTCTGTGTGTGTGTGTGTGTGTGTGTGTATATGTGTGTACGTGTTTTTGTGACATATCAGGACACAAATCTGTATAATGACATGGGTATGACACAGGTTTTACATAAAGGAGGTGAAATATGGGGACATTGGTGACGTCCTCATTTCTCAAAATGCTTATAAATCCCACAGGATGAATTTAATCAGAGAGTAAAGCTGCACACTGACTCCTGTGATGGTTGAGTTAAGGGGTAAGGGCAATACACGGTTTGGACAGTATAAAACGAATGGAAACCTATGTAATGTCCCCACTTTTCACACAAACAAACATGTGTGTGTGTGTGTGTGTGTGTGTGTGTGTGTGTGTGTGTGTGTGTGTGTGTGTGTGTGTGAGAGTGTGTGTGATGCTGAGGTCATGGCATACCCGTGCAGTTTCCTCCACTGCGGTCCAGCTCATACCCAGGGTCACACAGGCAGCGGAAGAGACCCGGGATATTACTGCAGCGGCCGTTCACACAGATGTCTGCAAACGTGCACTCGTCTATATCTGAAAGAGAAACACACACACAGTGCTCACACATAGCGCTCAGATACCCAAGGGGTCAGCAGCCTTTGCCACCAAAAGATTGATTTTGGCCCGTTTACAGCCAAGCAAAACTTGCCGGCATCCACAAAGCATATGATCAGCGCAGTGAACGGATAACACACTATACACTGTTCATAGAGACTTGAGGAAGAGCCTCATTTCTCCACTAGGGGGCGCCAGGAAGACCTGCTGCTGTATTTGTGTTCATTCAGCTCTAGCAGAGGAGAGAAGCATTACTTACAGACAGACAGACAGACAGACAGACAGACAGAGAGACAGACAGAGAGACAGACAGACAGACAGACAGACAGACAGACAGAAAGATAGATAGATAGATAGATAGATAGATAGATAGATAGATAGATAGATAGATAGATAGATAGATAGATTAGATGGATGGATGGATGGATGGATGGATGGATGGATGGATGGATGGATGGATGGATGGATAGATAGATAGATAGATAGATAGATAGATAGATAGATAGATAGATAGATAGATAGATAGATAGATAGATAGATAGATAGATGTACAGATAGACGTACAGACAGACAGACGGACATATGTCTCACCTTCACAGGCCTTGCCGTCTGCAGTGGGGATGAAGCCCATGTCACACTCACAGCGGAATCCTCCAGCGATGTTCAGACAGTGACCGCTCTCACACAGATTCACATTATCAGCACACTCGTCTGTGTCTGAACAACACACACACACACACATCAACATCAGCGTCATGACACGTGTGTGTCTGTGTATATGTGTTTGTCTGTGATTGATTGTGTGTGTGTGTGTGTGTGTGTGTGTGTGTGTGTGTGTGTGTATGTATGTGTGTGTGTCTGTGTGTGTGTGTGTGTGTGTGTACCAGTGCAGTAGAAGCCGTCTCCGCTGAATCCCTCTTTGCAGAGGCAGCGGTATGAGCCCATGGTGTTCCTGCAGTCTGCGCTGGGGCTGCAGTGGTGCGTCCCGTTCGAGCACTCGTCCAGATCTGCAACAGGAAACAGGAAATGGCTGAGCTGCTCACCTGGTCAGCATTAACCTAACACAGATCACACACACACACACACACACCTGTGCACTTGATGCCGTTCCCGATCCAGCCTGGAGCGCAGCTGCACCTGAAGCTGCCGGCGCTGTTCGTACAGCTCGCATGATGATCACAGTTATGAGCCCCGATCTCACACTCGTTAATATCTGCAACACACACACACACACACACACACACACACACACACAGACACACACACACACACACACACACACATATTTATAACAGAGCATCTCACACAGACATATGAAGAGGGCATCTCACACACACACACACACACACACACACACGTACACACGTACACAAACACGTACACATGAACAGAGAGTCACATACCCATATAAAAAAAAGAGTATCTCTTTCTCACACACACACACACACACACACACACACACACACACACACACACACACAGAAGAAGGGAGCATCACACACGCACAGTTTATATCTCTGACTGAACTGAAGATCATGTTTGTTGACCTGTGGAGATGTCAGAGCGTGACATCATTTCCTGCAGCCTGTCTGAGATCAGTCTGTGCGTGTGGTCAGTGTGTGTGTGTGTGGTCAGTGTGTGTGTGTGTGGTCAGTGTGTGTGTGTGTGGTCAGTGTGTGTGTGTGTGTGTGTGGTCAGTGTGTGTGTGTATCGAGTCTGCTAATGAGCACATCATCACAGTTTAACATTCAGTTCTCTCATTAGACTCTGTGTGTCCTCAAACAACCTCTCTCTCTCTCTCTCTCTCTCTCTCTCTCTCTCGTTAACACACTGCACTCTAATTAGAAGAAATCTAATCTACGCACACACACACACACACACTCCTCATCACAGCGGCTCGTCATTAGACTGATGCAGGAGACTCTACCATGAGGAACGTCTCGAGATTTCCACTGGCCACGACCTCCTGATCATTTCATCAGACATGTTGATCATTCATGCTTTATACTGTTTGCACACGTGAGTGTGTGTGTGTGTGTGTGTGTGTGTGTGTGTGTGTGAGTGTGTGTGTGTGTGTGTGTGTGTGTGTGTACATGCGTGAATATGAGTGTTTATATTTATTTATTTGTGTGTCTGTGTTTATGTATGTGTGTTAATGATAATGCATGTGTTATGTTTACTTGTGTGTGTGTGTGTGTGCGCGCACGTGTGTGTGTGTGTGTGTGTGTTTGTACATGCACGTGTGTGTGGTTGTGTTTATTGTGTGTGTGAATGTTTGTGTGTATGTTTATTTGTTTGTGTGTGTGTGTGCATCAGTGAGCATATGTACTTGTATGATTGTGTGTGCGCGTGTGTATGTATGTACATATGTGTATATATTTATTTATTTGTGTGTCAGAGAGTGTGTATCTGCGTGTATATGGTTGTATATATGTTTATTTGTGTGTGTGTGTGTGTGTGAGAGAGTGTGTATGCAGTGTGTGTAGATATATTTCCTTGTGTGTGTGTGTGTGTGTGTGTGTGTGTGTGTGTGTGCTGTGTATGGATGTGCATATGTGTGTATATGTGTATTTGCATGTAAATGTGTTAGTGTGTGTTTATGCAGTGTATGTGTAGATTTGCTTCCTTGTGTGTGTGTTTATTTATGAGCATGTATATGTGTAAGAAAGTGTGTGTCTGCGTGTGTATATTTTAATTTTTGTATATGTGTGTATGCATGTGTGTATAATACGTTTATTGTGTGCATGTATGCATGTGCATATGTGTGTATATATTTATTTGTGTGTGTGTCTGTGTGTGTGTATAGATATATATATATAAATATATATATATATATATATATATATATATATATATATATAGATGATAGATGATAATGTGTAAGTCTGTATTTGTATGTGTGTGTGTGTGTGTGTGTGTGTGTGTGTGCATATCCATATATATGTGCGTGTGTGTGTGTGTGTATGTTAGTATATATGTGTGTGTGTGTGTGTGTGTGTGTGTGTGTATGTCCTTATATGTGTGTGTGTGTGTGTGTGTGTGTGTGTGTGTGTGTGTGTGTGTGTGTGTGTGTGTGCATGTGTTCTTATGTGTGTGTATACATATGCACGCCTGTGTATATGTGTTATGTCTGTATGTGTATGTGTGCCCATGTGTGTCCATATGTGTGAGTGTGTGCATGTCTGTATATGAGTTTGTGTGTGTATACATAGTGCATGCCTGTGTACTAGTGTGTTGTGTGTTTTGTGTGTGTGTGTGTGTGTGTGTGTGTGTGTGTGTGTGTGTGTGTGTGTGTGTGTGTGTGTGTAGGTCATCCGTGTTCCCCATAATGTGTGTTTCTCTGGTTTCTCAGTTCTTGTAAATAAGTCTGACATCATCATGGGTGTAACTGGGGTGTGTGAGGCCAGAGGTCAGTAGAGACACACACACACACACATACACACACACACACACACACAGACATTGATATTGGTGGTTGTGAATCAAGCGATAGTTAGGGGGCTCAACCCCCCCCCCCCAAACCCCCCCTATAATTCGCACCCTGCATATACACACACATGAACACAAACACACACACATACACACAGACGTACACATGCATACGCACACACACACATTCACACAAATAAACAAACGCATTCACACACACACACACACTGATCTGAGGGCTGCTTCATTAGCATGTGCTCAGCGTTCAGGAATCTGGCCTGAATATCTCCAGCCTCACGTGTAAAGCATCTCCAGCTGAAGAGCCTGGAAACATGTGCTGCTGCTGCTCACTGCATTCCTGCTCTCTGACTCAATCACACACACTGCAGGAAAACACACACACGCAGGAAACAACCATCTCCTCTGAGCGCACACGTCTGACAGAACATCAGCACACACACATATTCGCATGCTCATTTTACAGATGACCTATTCTGCCCCTTCAGTCAGCCCTGTGGGTGTGTGTGTGTGAGTGCTGGTCAGGTGTGCGTGTGTGCTTCAGTGTGAGTGTGTGTTGATGCTTCTGTCAGTCTCTGTCGCTCCTGTCTCTGTTCATCTAGAACTGCACATCTATAATCCTCTTAGTCTATGCTGACATCATCTTCAGCAGCTCAAACACTCTAATGGCGAATGGACAGACGGCTGCTTCTCACTCAGGCCTGCTGGACATGCTAATGAGATGAGCACTAGTGGGCGGGGCTTTCCCCCTCTGATGACACATACAAAGGCGAATGTAATGTTTGTGTGTGTGCGTTTCTATAGTGTGAGTGTGTGAGCATGTGAGTGTGTGCAATGTTTGTGTGTGTGTTTTGCTTGTGAGTGTGTCTGAGAGCATGTATGTGTGTATGCACACACTCACACATGCATACACACATATAAACACATAATATATGTGTGTATATTTCAGTATATGTGTTTCTGTAGGATGTGTGGGTTTTAGTAACTATTGTTTGTAGTGTGTGTCTCTCACCTGTACA